TGAATCGGTGAGAACGAAAACACACTAACCCGGGTAACTCGAAAATGCTCACTTTTCACTAAGGACAGACAATTTTCTTGAAGCAGGTCATTGAAGTTACCGTATCTGTTCCAACTTAGACATTAAAAGTGTCTTTAAGTACTCGCTTCTTGGCACCAAAAATATTTTTCCTAGACTAACTTATCTTCACGTATGATGCAGTTTTGTGTGAGTCTTGATTATTTTCATTTTCTGGAGTTGGTGTGTTTTCGTTCTCACTGATTCAATTTCAACCCTTTGTCATTAAGAGGGGGGCTGTGATGGTGGATTCCACCATAGAGAAAAAAAGGGGTGTTTGCATCTTGAGGTTTGTTTACCCTGTGACGTAGGTCGGTACAACCTGGCCAGCGAAATCCGGAATTCGAATTATGAAAAACAGATTATAATGCCCGATTTGTTTACTTAAATCAACTCATGATATAATTTCAAGCACTTTTCATAGAGTGACTTTTTTCCATAAATTACGTTACACCATTTCCAAGAAAATCGATGATAAACGTCGCTGTACCAACCTACGTCATCAAGAAAATTCCAAGATGCCCGAAATGCAAACACCTCTTTTAAGCGCTCAGCCGATAGGCAGCACTTTTTGCTTTCGACTTGCCTCTGAGTACTGGTATACTAGTGCTAATGCGTTTAAATGACGCACCAGCTCATCGATGTGTAGGCTTTTTTTTGGGGGGGGGGTCCATTTTTAAAATAAATAAAGCTGTGAAAACTGTATTTTATGCTTTTAACGTAAGGCGCGGGTAGTTACGATCGTTTGTCTATAAGAAAATTTCTTAGCGGTAGAGTAACTCTTATCGAAATTGATCGTTGACCTCAAATGAAGCCTAAAAAAAAAAACGCGCCTGATGAGCTCAACGGTGGCTATCATTTTCGGGAAACGAAAAAACGCGTTTACGGTTTCCTTGGTAACCTTTGTTTGCTATCAGCTGATGTTTTATTTCCATTTCCCAGCCAAGTCGACGGAGTTTATACGTCCTTCCTTCATTAAATACATTTACTAACACCTGAGCGCTTTTCTAATACGACAGTATTAGAACTTTCCCGCTTGTTTTTCCTCTGAAAACCCACGCCTCTAATACGTTGAATTTGGTTGTCAAAATTGACATGTGAATTCTTTAGCCTCCTGGCAACAGAATTGCGATCTCAAAATATGGGAAAAATGACAATTATATGTAGCTGAAAAAATGGGACCAATCGATGCGGTATATCGCATGTCGTTCTGACACAAAATATGGCGTCCATCGAATCACCTTAAACTTTCTCTCTGTCATGAGGCTCTTTTTAATTTTGAAAATTTGCACAAGTATTGATTAAAATAGCAAAAACTGCACTTATGCGCCTTGTTCTCGAGGTCCCTCAATCTCAACCCCTCGTCATTAAGAGGAGGGGCCGCGTGATGGTGGATTCCACGACAATTTGACAACAGAACCGAGCGTGGGAGATTAATTTCTGGCAAAAGAGATGAAAAGGAATTTATTTTTCAGATGAGCACAACAAGTGAACAAGCAAAGCATGAGCAATCAATAACATACATAACGGCGGGTCGTCATGGCGACGTGCCGCGACCGGGAAGCTGAGCCGCCCGTGGCCGCGGGAGCTAAGAAAAAACCCGCTTAGAGCTCCGCTGTGCGGGCACGCTCCACGCTCCTCTCCGCCTAGCGCCTCCCTTCCGCTTAAAATTCCAATCACAATCAGTTTCCCGTTTAGCTCGTGCATTTCTGTCGATCCAATTTTCAACCGACGCCTTACAACCTTCGCTTTTTCGTATGCATTAGGCAACCCTCATCGAAAGCGAATCCCTAAATGTCGATGCTAAAAAAAATGATAGCGCGAGTCATTGATCTATGACTGATGGCTCCACGGTTACGATATTTTTATCGCGATAGCGCGGCCTCCACTCGTCAAAATGGAAGCTCTTAATGGCTCAAAGTCGGGACTTGGTGCGATTGATGAGTGTTGTAACTCAAAACAGAGCGGTGCGACTCTTTTGACGAACAATCGCGATCAGATATCGCACTGAAAAAAAAGATCGGTAAAAAATAAAGTACCTATGACAGGAAGTCTACAACGTCGCAAATTGAGGTACTTGGTCTGGTAGTTTCATTGTCGATATCTGATGGTTCGGTGGTAGTTGATGTACAGCAGGCATCAACTATTTAGTGTAAAACACCAACTTTGGAAGTGCACAGCACCAGGTAGGGTTATCTCGATCAGCAGCACTAACTTTTTTTCAGCATTCCAGTTTTTTTCAAATTCGCCTTTCTTCGTCCTTACAATCCAGTCTCGAATACTTATACATTATGTCTTTAAGCAAATTGTATTTAAAGTCCCGAACCTTTTTAGGAAGTTCTGTCCTTGTTTTTCTCATCAATCACCAACACCAGTGGACACCGTTGTTACCAGATTCGACTAATTAGATTAATTGGTTTTCGATAGGTCGAACTTTTTTTAGAACCACCTCTCGAGGTGGTACCAAAATCACGCACCAACGTTGCGATTCGTTAGTCACAGAATCGGAAGTTCCGAACTCAAATAAAATGGCAGCTAAAAGGCACAATGTTCGAGCACAAAAGTATAGTACCGAACCTCTAAATCAAATTTGCTTCTTAGTGAAAACACAACATAAATAAAGCGCGAGACATATTTTGACAAGAATCATATAAAGAGCCATTCCTCTAAGAAAAACGTGTTCACAGAATCTGCCAGGAGAACTGATTGGAACTTTTTCCAATTAGAGGGGAGTGGGAGCAAATTCATTCTCGTTTTCTTGTAGGGGTGAGCGATGATCGTTAATAATTAACTTGAGCACGGGTATCTGTGACGGTCTCTGTAATTAAACGAAGCAACTCGGCTACCTGTTTAATTACTTGCCGCATGATTCTACGGCCTTTGACTCATTTACATAAATTAACCTTTGTAAACTTCCTCGGCGCACAAGGGAGCGTTTTCAAGTTACTTGCTCAGGTTGATTATTCAATGACTACTTCATGATGTTTTCTGCATATCGATGGCCAAAGTGCGAAACCGCATAACTACGTATGCGACATTGTTAACTTCTTCTTGTAATACTATACTTTAAGCGCTCAGCCGATATGGAGCGCTTTTTTATCTCAACCTGCCTCCAGAATGGAGATGTTGCATGTGTGAGGAATTTGCGATTTGACTATTGATTCCTATGTAAAAGTTTGCGAGAAACACGATTATGCCACTAGTTTTCTCTGAAATCAACTTCCAAGCTCAAAAAAAGCTCTCAAGTTGAGGCCAAAATTGAGGGGATATCCCACGCTATCCTGAGAGTACACCTCTACATTAAGACAAACTCTCCGTGCAAAGATAGGGAGCAAATACATTGACAGGGCTGCCGCTTTATTTGGGGACTCTAAAACTGAAAACACGGCAACCCTGCTAATGTATTTGCTCCCTTTCTTAGCATGGAGAGTTCGTCTTGATGTAGAGGTGGACTCTCAGGTTAGCGTGGGATATCCCCTCCATTTTGGCCTCAACTTGAGAGCTTTTTTTGAACTTGGGAGTTGATTTCAGACAAAACCAGTAGCACCATCGTGTTTACATTAGAATGCTTCGAGCTTTTACATTAGAATGAACAGTCAAATCGCAAATTCCTCACACATGCAACATCTCCATTTCAGTATACTAGTGGCGATGCGTTCAAAGATGCACCAGCTCAACAACAAGATGGTGGAGAGGAGCATAACATATTTAGAATAGATTAATCTGTGATTCTTTTATTTAATGCCTCTGATGTAAAAGCACAGATGACGTTAACTGTTTTTCTATAATTTAATTTTTTTTTTCTAGCTTTAGTGTACTTTTCTCAAAAGTTATAGTTGAAATTCTAGTGAGGGAGCTCGGTGCTCATCCTCTTCGGGGAACTTAAAAACCCCGGTGCTGTACCCCTGACTGCCATTAACTGAAGCCAATTCTAGGTGGCGGTAGCCACTCCGGCCCAATCCTAAAAAACTCCCCCTAAAAAGTTGACGATCATCTTACTCCCGTTATCCTTATTCCGTCTTCTTCTTATTTTTACTTCCGTTTTTATGTCACAATGCAACCGAACGCGGCTCCCTTTGTTTTCTCCTCATTTTCCTGTTTCTACTAATGTTTTTCTCTCTAAATATATTCCCTCTTCGAATTCTGTAATCCCTCTTCACCCACGTTCTAATTAAAATGGAAGTTTTCATCTAGTTAGCGCGCGGTGCCAAAAATCTATCTTTGAATGAATGCTTAGTCAAGTAAATTCATAAGAAGTAACTTAAAAATCTAATCTCTGTGATTTCGGATTCCTTAGATGACTATTTTTTCAAAACTGGCATAAATCTGTATTTTTAGGGTTGAGCTTTTGAAATTAAATTCGAAATGTTTGTTTACGCCTGAATATTTTCCAGAGGTCAAGTGACTCGGCCTACAGCTGCATAACTCATGATTTTGGAATAATTATAGTACAATCAGATACGAAATAGGAAATTATGAGTAAAATAAATCATTCGCTCACCTACTTAAAATTTATAAAAATAAATTAGATGCACTTCCCTGACTTGAGATCCCTGAGATGGGGAAACTGTACATATGTTTTTATTTCCATCATGAAGATTGATTATATAATTCTTCAACATTACATAATGCTTATGATTGAATTATTTACGCCGAACTTCCAGCTTAGGCACTTGAGATGGCAATTAAATATTTTTCTTCTTCTTTTTTCCTTCTTAAAAAATAAAAGAAATAATTCATTGAATTTTTCTTCAAAAAAGAAAAATCTATCAACATTAAAGAAATGTAAGCTTAACAATAACTTTGTAGAAATAGCTACCCTAGGGATCACCAACTTGTTCGGTCATGTGAAACGCAAGGGGGTGAAGTTTTCAAACCACCGGCGCCATCTCGCGGGCGTCGACGGAACTAAACAACCCGGAAGTAAGCTTGCGTCACTTTATTGATGCAAGGAACACGCATCTCACACAAACCTAACCGCGAGTGTTTTTTAGCCTCCAAAAGGGGCACGTCCGCGTGTTTTTGTGGCCGTTTCTCATGAGTTTTGGATGCTCTTTCCAGCATATTCGGGAATCCACCTCAGGTGAGTGCGTCTTATTTATACTGGCTCAAGGATACACGTAACCTCAACAATCACGCACCCCTGCGGCAGTAATATTGTGTGTGTTCAGTACATCTGTCAAACATATGTTACATTATGTCACACATGCCGACAATGTTTACGTGATATATTAGCTCTAATAAATGAGAAAAAAACACTAAGAAGTGGCCCGAATACTGTATTGTTATAGGTGGAAAAATGGTACTCGGTCCACACCATTTCGAGGGGAAATCAAAGCCAAGAAGTTCCAAAAATTATAATAATTAGAGTAATAAATATTTTTCTTTCATTGGAGTTAAACAAATTTATTTCTGACTCTAATTATAATTTTTGGAACTTCTTGGCTTTGATTTCCACTCGAAATGGTGTGGGCCCAGCAACATTTCTCCCTCTTAGCCCTAACATCAAGTAGGTACGATTGATCGAAGAATGTAAACGCATAAAGCACAATTCCAATGTATATTCACGATGGTTGTGTTATTGATGCATTGCCATGTTTCATAAAAACAATTTTCAAATATGATTGATGGGAATTTCACTTCAGAATCCGCCAGGACGAGGGATTATTCACCAGCTACTTATTATGTTTCTACATATGCTATTCATATTCGACCAAACTTTAGTGTGTATGAAGCTAAAAAATTGAATTTTCTTTCAATGAGCAGCAAGGAAATTTGTATTAAAGCTCATCCTCCATCCTTTGTTAAAGTTAGGATAGATCATAGTAAGGAAGCTGAAAAACACTCTTTTTTTATGGACGAGAATTTTATTTTAAATTTTAATTTAATTATTGAACAAGAAAGAGAAGACTATGAAAGAGGAGACGATGACGGAAAAACAGAAAGAGAAAAACTGTTCCGTGCATGATAAAATAATAGCAAGTAATCTGGAGCCAACCGAGGTTTACACATTCAGGGAAGAATCTCGGCACTTCACTTGCTGCTCAAATCCATAAATCTGCATTTATAGGTTCTAACTTTCCTTATTTCATCTGAATTATTTAAACTGAAGCGCAATCTATTTAATCCATAAATGCCCAAGCCTGGCTGGGTCAAACTGATCCCAGGTGTCCTAAAAACACGTGCCGCACAGGTTGTATGGGGCCAGTATACGGTACACACAAGCTTTAGATGTACGTCTGCAAATATACACTGTAAAACAGAATCGTACATCAAATTAAAAATAAAGAAAATATCGAGTGTCAATCTGGCCGAAGATAAGAGGGACGTATTCGGGCCTCGTTTTTTAACTTTTCTTTCGAATCTGAACGGTATCTCATCGGGTGGCATCATTGCTCTTGCTCATAGAGCGGAATATTGCGAGCTCACGCCTCGCACCATCGCGCCTTCAATTTTGCAGATGCAACACGGACATCCATCAAGCACGAATAGTTGTATCTCTGCACCGTCATCGACGCCCATCCTTTCCCTTGCTCTATTCCTACATTGAGTTTGTTCCCGTTTTTCTTATTAGTCGAGGGGCTTCAAGGGCTACCCGAGCAACGTAGCTGAGGATAGCAAAGACTCAGTTGGGCCTCGTTTTTCATATATTCTCTCGAATCTGAGCAACTTATCATCGGTAGCATAGAGTAAAGCATTGGGACGATGAAAGTCGGCAATCACATAATTCGATTTGCGACGTCGCAGACTTCCTGTCATACTTTATTCTTTAAACGGAAAACTACTCAACGGTAATTCCTTAAAACTGCCGTGATTTTTCTTCTATGTGCGAGGAAAATTCTGCAAAAACTGTAAGGAATCATGTCCATTTGTTCTCCTTTAAAAAAATAACATAGTTGCGGAGATTTTCAGACATCGCAAACGAGTTATGTGATTGCCGACTTGCACCGTCGATTGCGAGTTTACGCCTTGCGTCATCGCGCCTTCAATTTAGCAGATGCAACACGGACATCGATGAAGCACGTACAGGGTGTACCAAAAGTCCGTCCCACCCCTGCTAACTTTTGAACGAATTAAGCTAGGGTAATGAAACTTTGGGAATGTTCCTATCTCAAAAGGGACCATCTTTTGGGGGGGTCAAAATTTTGGTCCTCCCTCAGGGGGGGGCGCGGGGGGCCCCCTACTTTTTTTTTCAAATGGCAACCCCTATCTTGTGATACCTCATTCGAAAGAACATAAAAAGCTAAGAATTTTGGCGCAAACCGCAGATCAATATCTTAATTTTTGACCGAGTTATGATAGGTCAAAGGTCAAATTTGACCTATTTTCAAAAAATCATAACTCCGGTTCAAATTATCGTAGAGAAAAAAATAAAACGGGAAAATTTACCAAATTGTGTCCGCTTTTAAGTAAAAATTGCAGAAATCACTTCGCTGAATTTTAAGGGGGGGCTCGGACCCCCAAATACGTCAATTCAAAGGTCATTCAATTTTCCCGCGAAAAAAGGCAATTTCCCCTAGATTTGCCTCCACATTATCTCAGTAAGGTCAAAATTAGTTCAACATTACGTTGGCAAGTCCCCAAATTTCGGGAAAAGTTAAAAAAAAAAAAAATTTAAACGGTCAAATTTAATCACCTTAAATTTCGTTTTTTTTTAAACTTTTCCCGAAATTTGGGGACTTGCCAACGTAATGTTGAACTAATTTTGACCTTACTGAGATAATGTGGAGGCAAATCTAGGGGAAATTGCCTTTTTTCGCGGGAAAATTGAATGACCTTTGAATTGACGTATTTGGGGGTCCGAGCCCCCCCTTAAAATTCAGCGAAGTGATTTCTGCAATTTTTACTTAAAAGCGGACACAATTTGGTAAATTTTCCCGTTTTATTTTTTTCTCTACGATAATTTGAACCGGAGTTATGATTTTTTGAAAATAGGTCAAATTTGACCTTTGACCTATCATAACTCGGTCAAAAATTAAGATATTGATCTGCGGTTTGCGCCAAAATTCTTAGCTTTTTATGTTCTTTCGAATGAGGTATCACAAGATAGGGGTTGCCATTTGAAAAAAAAAGTAGGGGGCCCCCCGCGCCCCCCCTGAGGGGGGACCAAAATTTTGACCCCCCCAAAAGATGGTCCCCTTTGAGATAGGAACATTCCCAAAGTTTCATTACCCTAGCTTAATTCGTTCAAAAGTTAGCAGGGGTGGGACGGACTTTTGGTACACCCTGTATAGTCGTGTTCCTGCGCTGTCACAAGCCTCTTATTCTTGAAACTTGAGGAAAGTTAAGATTGAGTTTGCTCAAACTATGTTATTATGTGTCCAAGTCAATGATCATTTTAACAAAGAAAGTTGTGTAGGTTTCTCAAGCGCTCTGAAGGGCGCACGTCTATCGGAATTTTGGGGGGGGGGCGTTGTTTCATGTCAGGGAATGTTTTGTTCTGACGACTACCCCTAGATATCCCAAGTTAGGTTAATTTGACCCCACTAACTCTTCTAGGTGTTTTACATATGGTGGAAGAGGGGTGGCTGGGGGTTTGAGAAAGCGCCGTAAGTTACCAAACAGATGAAAATTGAAAAAAAAATATGTCTTACCTTCAAAAACATAGAAGTACAAGTAACATAGATATAGTACTTCAAAATCTTTCTAAATACATATATTTAAATGCGGGTAAATTTGACCTTAATTTGAACTTTGCGGATAGAATGTCTAAGGCATCTAAGGGAATGATTGCTACATGATTTGTCAAACTAAAAAAACTGCATGTTTTTCATGAATACCACCAATTTGCCGTATGTATATTCCTCCGAGAGAAAAACAAACTGTTTTTGTTTCACCTGCTCCAATTGTTGTCAAGAAAGAAGACCGCGTGGAAGTCATAAATCGGGTCACTGTGCAAATCAGCTCAATGTCAACAAGTAATTTATTTTCAAACGAGACCTCTCATTTTCCGATTATTTTTCAAAACTAATCAACCAACCGGCTCAAAGAGATACACCAGGCACAATTTAGTGTTTCCACTTCGTCGGGATCATCTTTTGTCTGTATATTCCATGAATAATTTACGACATTGTTGCTCTATCGTGGGTGTTTTCTGAGCCATACGTACTCTACCGTCAACTTGAAACAGTTTCACTTTTCCTGAGCTTCCAAATATTCTCCCGGAAAAAAGTTACGTAAGATCCCTAATGAGGCCCGTAACCCTCATTATTGCCGCGGCGGCGTTGTCCATCGTGATCAACTTTTCGATGGGAACTTCTCTTGACCCATCGGATCCTTCACGGTTCAAAATCTACACTCTGGAACCCCCGCTTGCAAGGCCATGCGACTTGTGCAAGGGTCCTGACAACGGCCTCTGGGGAATAGACATAGCGAACCCGTATGTCTTCCGACTGGATCCGGTCACTGGAAAAGTCGACTACTACGTTATCCCATTCACCTCCCCATCGTCCAACTTCAGTTTACCACCGGAAGTCGGGAAACTAGTCGGACGGCTTGAATTTGGCTGCGGCATTCGACCCGGATATAACGGTCGCGTCTATTTCGTGACCGGCTTCCGCGGGCAGCTCGGCGAAATCGACGTTTGGAATCGGACGGTGAAAATCGTGACTCCTTTCAACCTGCTCGCGAATCTGGAGCCGATCAACGATCTCTACGCCTCGTATACCGGAGTGTACTTCACCCTGACCACCGGCAACAAGATAGCATTCTTTTCACACGCGACCAGGGAAGTCATTTACTACACCGTGCCGACCCCCGGCTCCCTCCCGCTAGCTATCTACGTCGCCTCGGACGGATTCGTATATTTTACCGAGGTGGCGGCTGGCAAAGTCGGCATGCTGAACCCCGAGACTGGCGAGATCAGAGAGTTCTTCTTCGGGATACAAGGATCAGAAATCCGCGCTGAGACACCCTCGGGTAAAAAACACCCGTTCATTTGGATCACGACAGCTCTACTGAATGGCGTCGCTCGCTTCGACCCGAACACCGGTCGGATAGAGCATTTCCAAAATCCGTTGATCTTGGGATTGACCTCCGAGGACACAGTCGATGGATGCGAAGTTGTTTGGGTCTCGTCCATCCCGCATAATGCTTTGATCAGCGTCAACTCTAAGACCGGACGTGTGAGCTATGTCACCATCCCGGACACGGTTACTCTGGAGCCGGTCAGCGTCCCGCCTTTCGTCGTGTTCGCCGTCAACTACGGGCCCGGCAATGCGATTTGGTTCAACAAGGTGGCGTTCAACCAGGTCGGCTCGTACGCTTTGGACGCCAACTGCAGTATGAATGAAGATGATAGCTATTACGGTACGAGATAAAGGATCTCATTCAGAAAGGTGATGTTTCCTACCATGTTTGAATCCCACATTCATGCACATTACACTTAGGCAATATATATGTAGATTCACTTCAGACGGCTATAAATGAGAAGTCAATTTCTGACTAGCCCTACCGAAGGCCAGAGAGCCGAAACGAAAACGCTTGGACTGTCGCAAATTTTAAGCGGCTCGATTGGTTGAACGTATGAGACATTCATCTGCGTATAATTAATGTTTTGCTTATCCTTTATTTAAACCGAGTCAAAGCAAAGTTTTGCTTTTCCGAAACAAATTATTTGGTTTTTTGAGCCGTTGGACAAAACATAGAGCTGTTTCAATTGTGTATATATAAAAGCGAATTTTTCAAGCTTAAAATAAGCTGATAAGGTGATCCTGGATTTTATCCTCTGGAGTTGTTTGATCAAAAGTAATTTTTATGAGGTAAATAATTATTCTGCTAAATTCGATTACCTTTATTTAAAAAGTCGACTGTCTGAAGGAATTGGAGGATCACTATGTACTTCACTAATTATTCATTCGGAGCGATATTAAATAGTAATTAATAGTGCAGTGTAATGCTTCTGAGCTTTTTCAGGAAATTTTGGAAACTGCCAAGTTTCCAAAAACGCAAAGAACTTAAAAAAGAGAAACTCAAGCTTATGAGGTACGTGACGAGTTATTTTATTGTTAAGTACTTACATTTATTCATTAGTCCTTTATGTCCGTGGATGTAAACAATATACAATTTCCATCAGCGGTTCAGAGATTATTTTTTGTTTTTGTTTTTCCTTTGTATTCAAATGTCATCACGGTACTTCCAGCAAAATGCAAAGCGAATTGATAGCATGTTTTTCCGACAGAGTCATGAGGAAAATTCAAAGAATTTCATTATAATATGACCTCATTTTGCTGCTTGTTCGAAAGTCCAGATTTCCCAGCCTACCGCTCAGTGTGAATTAGTCAACCTCCTTACCAGCTCGTATTAGATATATAGCACTAAAAACTTTTGGCAAATAGATGGCCCACGTGGAAAATAAAATATGTGATAATCTCGAAAGCAGTTCTCAACGTCTAATGCCAGCCGGTCATTCACCAAAGCAGATTCATCAGCTACATCAGATGCATTAAAATGAACCACTAGACAAGGTACGAATTTCAGCATTCTGATACATGTTTCTTAACCAAAATTTCACGTAGAACACGATACGCACAACGAAAATTACCGAAATTAACTCTTTACGAAGATATTTAATGATTCTTGATGCGTGAATTGAAACCACCCGCTCATGAAAACTCAATGCTCTACGTGATTTACATCGCGCGCTAAACGTTATCATAAACGTCTCAGCGATATAAAAATCTGGCAACCTCAGTCTTGACGCTTTGGCTCAGCTACAGCAAATTGATTATAGTTTGAACAACACATGGTGGGAGATGAACATTGCTCGATTGAGAAGCTTGCTGAAACCATTGTAGTGCACGATTTGACTCACGTAGAGCTTTGAGTTTCTCGCGAGCGGCCAGTTCAAATTCCTCGTAACTGATGCGAAATAAAAACGTTAATATCTTCGCTAAGAGTTGGTTTCAGTAACTTTCGTTGCGCGAATCGTGTTCTACGTGAAATTTTAGTTCAGAAACATGTATTAGAATGCTAAAATTCGTACCCTGTCTAGTGGTCCATTGTCTTGTTACGACGTACCAACACCAGTCCTAGGTCTGTGTGATTTATGTGAGGGTCTGAACAGTACATTATGGGGTGACGTTTTATTATCACCATACTTATTCTGCTTAGGCGTGCTGTCATGTATGTTTTGGACATGCTGACGAGAGCTCCTACATAGTAATAGATCAAGTCTATTTACCGAATTTCTGAAAAAAGACTCACCTATTAAAATTAGTCTTCTTATGCATAAAGTTGGCATTCCAGCAAAGTGTGCAGATCTAGGAGGCTGAAAATTGGACACAGTTAATACATCAGCTAATTGGAAAATAACGATCGTAACATCTTTTCTCGTAGCTCCCGCACATAGTAATTTCTGTGACTATTTAATACGCCTCAAACGTGAATTGAAACTGGGTGCCTGAGTTTTGTTGGACGTCAAGCAAACTACCGTTTTCCGTCGATTTTATTCATAGGTAACACGTTCTGCTATTAAGGCTTAAACTAATGTTTTGTAAATCAAACGTTATGCTTGAAATCATTTTGTTCACATTTGCGTATTTTATTATGCGGCTTATTCCCAGTTCTCTAAAATGAGTTGAAATACTGCCCAATTTTTATTTAAAACGGTCCAATTCTTTTGTTTCAAAATTATTATAGGTAAAAGTTTTTTGTTCAGAAATTTTCATCTCTAATTTTGAACTTCGAAACAGAGATAATATTTCAAAAAAAATGTCTGATATGACATCTCAATAATCTCATTCTTTTACGAATGTTCGTCTAAGAATCAAACAAAAAATTAATTTATAATTGCGGCAATTTTTATTTAAGTTTACTGGTCGAAAGGGAATTCGTAGTTTAACCAGTTATACCTCTGGAGCCACGTGAATCACGTGATCTACTAAAAACTAATGAAAAGAGGGTTATTACATAGAAAGAAAGAAGAAGAAAAAGACAAAAATGAAAAGAAAAAATGAGAAGGAAAAAATGAGAAGAAAAAGGACGAATAGGCGTACAATCAGATTTGAGTTGATCATTCAATAATTTTTAAATCATAAATTCAACTGACCCGTAATTTGATTGTTTTTGTTCTTAGGTTTCTCGCTATATAATAGTGTTTGCAATCTGCAGAAGTGCCATACTACCCTCTCTCACTTACTAACACAGGATTTTGTAATAAAAAGTACACCGCAACTATACCATGAAACGGACTTTTCCCACCGTAGAAACAACAACACGCATTCTAATTACAATTTTAACCGCCGCCCCATCCGCCAGCTTAGATCCGTCCAAGTTCACATTCTACAAAATGCCGTACCCGCTCTCAGCGCCATGCGACCTGTGCGAGGGTCCAGACGGCACCCTCTGGGGCGACGACTTTGCAGGACCCTTCATCTTCCGCGTGGACCCCAACACCAGCCTCGTCGAACACTACCAGATCCCGTACACCATCCCCGCGCTCAACATCACCCTTCCACCCGAGGTCGGGCAGATCATCGGCAGGACAGCTTTGGCCTGCGCCATTCGACCCGGCGCCGACGGAAACATCTACGCGGCCACCGGTACCCGAAACCAACTCGCTCGTATCAATCCGAAAACCCGGAAGATCGAAATAGTCGTCTCTCTGAGCGTCCTGGGGAACCTTCAACCATTCAACGACCTCTACACCTCCCCCACTGGGATGTGGTTCACCATGACGACCGGCAACTTGATCGGCTTCTACTGTTACAACACGTCTCGGGTCACATTTTATCGCGTTCCGACCCCGCTTGCTATACCGTTGGGCATATACTACGCCTCGGATGGCTACGTGTACTTCTGCGAGCTGTTGGGAAACAAAATGGGCAGGCTTGACCCACGGACTGGGGTGATAAAGGAGTACATCATACCCCTCGGAGGTCAAGGACCTGCCGTTGTCCGTGCGGAAACGCCCCCGCCCGAATTACATGCGTCATCCTATCTTACGTCATTTTATCTCATATCACTTTATCTTACGTCATTATTCCTCTATTCCTGTTGAGTCACTCATTCTCCCTTATCTGACTTATGTCATTGTGATAATGAGGCCATATATACATTTCCTGCTTTGACCGCAGCGTCATTCATTCTTTACTTTCATCGAGAGTTCAAGCCTTCTGTGCTTTGTTTACATCGTATGTTTTGATTGCAGTGATCCCTGTTTCGTGAATAAATCTTTTTTAAAGTTTATTTTTCGGGACTTGTATTTTATTCCCGCGGGTAAGAAACACCCTTACATCTGGTTCACGTGCAGTTTGGGCAATTCCGTGGGGAGGCTTGACCCCAACACGGAGACCGGCAAGATCAAGTTGTATTCCAATCCGTTAGTGGGAGGGATTCCGTCGGAGAATACCGTGGATTCGAAGGGGAATGTCTGGTTTACGACTACGTTGCAGAATACCTTGTGCAAGATCGACCGGAATGGTACTGTCAGTTACGTTCAAATACCCGGGACGGTTCTTCTTGCTCCGATAAGCTCGCCGCTGTACTTCGTGTTTGCCGTCAACTATGGGCCGGGAAATGCGCTGTGGTTTGACTTGCTGTTGGGAGGCAGGGTCGGCCGATATTCCTTGGCTGAATGAAAGTTGCTACAATGTAAACGCATTCGCGGAAGCTGCAGTTCAATTTGAAAGTTATACCATCTCGGATAGGTGTATCTGGTGGAGATGAGTTGGATTTCGTTCAGGACTAGACCCTAATTTGCCCTCATAGAAAGTCCGATTCAGATCAACACTGGGTGTGATTGTGAACGCAATCAATTTATTTTCACCTACGTAGATAGTCTAAATGACATTCAATCAGAATTTTTGGACTGTGACGTTCTTCGGTCGAATAAATTGTGTGGAAAAATGACCTCGCTTAGATCGAGGATCCCTGCCTGCCCAAAACAATTTTTTCAGTAGGACTCATTAAGAAAATTTACGTCTAAACTACTAATTTTTCCAGTTTGTATTTTAGTATTCACATAGCAGTCAATGACTTTTTTATACTGAAGTCACATTCTCTTTTTTGTAAACGAAATGACTAATTTTTATTTTGTAAACTTTGCTTTATGAAACCTCCACCTTAATTTCCTTTATAATTGCTGTTTATGTTTTGGTCGAATTCAGTCAATTTTTGAAAAAAAAAAAAAAACTTGACCCGAAAACCATTCACTTTAACACTTTGTTCCTCTTATAATGTATATGTGTCGCAGGCTAAAGGTCAAAACCGGCATTTAGGCAAATGCCTAGGCAAATGGTGAAGTTTAATCGAAAACGTAGATTGGCTATTTGCCTAGGCATTTGACTAAATGACGAGGCAATTACATAAAAGCCTAGGCATTTGCGTAAATGCCGAGGGCATGTTAGGCAAAAAGGCAAATGATGTTCCTTTTCAGGCAAATAGTCAAAATCTGAGAAAAAGTCAATTTGCAATAATCCAAAAAACCACGGCCAAAAAAAAAAAAAGAAAAAAAAGAAAGTCTGTACTTACCTTAAAAATAATGAGGCAGTAGCGTTACTTGTTCGAGCACGCGATGGGTTGGTGGCACTTGCTGGAACATCTTCTCTGATTTTTGAAGCAAGAACATCGTTTGGTCGCACATTGATTTTTACTGGCTTGGCAATTACACTTGACAAAGCCTTGCCCTTCAAATAACGAAACGCCAGAAACTGCTTCGCGGACCGACACTAGCTTATCCCTCGGAACCTGAGATATTTCAAATTTTATTGCCTCTACTTGTTTTAATTCTTCCCGCGAACACCAATTTTTGATGACACCTGCGGGTGTTCCAATTTGGTAAACATTATTGCGGACGTCAAGAACAATTCCTTCGATGTTTTTTGGGTCCAACGGACCACGATCAAATTTTGAAATGTTCAAAATAATTGTATCTTCCACTTTTAAAGGTGTGAATAATTTCGAACTTCTTTCTGTCATTTTTTGAGCTGCAACTTTTTGTCGTAGATGGGCTTCCGCTCTTGTTGTGCGTATTTCTGCCTCGCCATGACAATACTTACAAACAAATGGTTGGTCGCCGTCTTCATTACCACACTCTTGATGACATGAATTATCGCAAGAGCTGCATTTTTTTAAGCTACCAGGCTTTTGACAAGAGGGGCATTGAGGTTGATCACCACACACGTTCTGAGTAGGCTCGGAACTCGACATTGCAGTTTCAGCTACTTTGAGCCGGGCTGGAGCTTGGTGCTTCAAGACGACATATTTTCTGAGCAGGCTCTGAGCTCGACGTTGCAGTTTCAGCTACTTTGTGAGCCGGGCTGGAGTTTACTATTTGCCTAATCAGCCTTCGGCATTTGGTCAAATCTTTAGGCATTTGCGCAAATGCCTAGGCAATCGAGGAATTTCAATGATTTTTACCATTTCTTTTCTATTTGCCTAGCCATTTGCCTGAATGCCGGATTTGACCTTTAGCCTGCTACATATGCATCAAATTAAAGGTACTGGTACTCGAAATATTAGTGTGCAGTCTCATTTATATTCAAATAAAAAAAATAATGAATTTTATGAACTAAGCTCTTCCAAATTCTTCTTGTGCAGTTTTGTTGTTAGGCAAAATGTTTTTACGGATCTGGGTGTTTCCTTGGAAATTTTAAAACCACCTAATGAGACACACACACAAAAAAAGAAATAAATAAAAAAAAGAAATACAATTTTTTTAAAAAAAATAAAATTAAAACACTTGCAATAAAGTTAAACAACACTCAATGATGAGAGGGGCAGGGGGGCTAACCATAGCATCTCTCATGCTAGCTTCCATAGCTACGCCCACGAGTAATACTCCGCTTTTCGAAGAGGAGCGAAGAAGAGCTGAAACAAGAAAATTCGACACCGGCACATATTTCTCTACGTAGGAGCTAGTATCGAAATATGTGGGAAGAGGGGTGATAGAAAAAAACAGCAGAGGCTTGCTTTTTGGTCAGGCTGAGTTCATTGAATAAAACAACACACCAGGAGATTGACATTCGACGCGACGCGTCCAGTGGCGAGTCATGAATGATCGATTATCGATATTTCCCTATTTGAAGTTGCAATAAAGTATCGATTATTAAGGTATTCGTTGCTATCGCCATGTCTATCGATAATTTTCCATAGGTTGAAATGGCTGATCAATCGATTTATCGCAAAGCACGCCACGCCACTGGCCGCATCCTGACTGTAAAAAAGTTGCGATTACAGTGGAGGGAGGAGGATTGGTCCATCCCTTTCTCGGAGTGAGAGGGGAGCGGGCACCTGTTTCGTTCAGTGCTGTAGATTTATTGAATAGAATTTGAGTCTATTAAAATAAGATTACCTCCTCCCACATGTGATGGCAAGTCTATACCCTTGCTCGGGATCCTACCCAGTAATTATCCCCCTCTCCAGGATTCCGCGGTGAATGGCGACGAGTGACAAGTCTATTCAAGAGTTGACACCCAGAGGGGAGGTGGTCTTCATGACCCTTCTCGCAGATTCATAGAGCTGATTCCTGCTCGGGCAACGAATAAACATCAACATGTACATTACGCATTTATAAAAAGTAACAACAAAAATCTTTGGGTGGTTAAAATTCCTATTTTTGGAGAAAGGGCATCAGTTTGGAGTTTTTATACCCGTCATGATGGTTAAGTTTTTCCAAAAAATTTCATTTTGTACGATGGATCCTGAAACCGAGTATTAAATTGAAAAGAGGACAGCTTGAAGTGAAACTCTAGAGTCTAACATCATTAATTTACCATCACAAACGAATACTTTCAGTCGCACAACTTGATTTTTTCTTAGAGAAAGTTGGCCTTTTCCAGAGGTAAAAAATTAATGCTTCGAATAACAAAGTTCCCTGGTAAAAATTGGCAGTAGAATCTGTGTTCCAAAATACTATAGACCTACAGCCGGCTGTAAGATTTCCAATAGCTTCTATAGCCGGCTACACAACTTCTTATGCCCTTTTATAGCCGATGATGATTAAGTAACACCCAGGCGATAAAGTGTATGCTAAACGTTACTAATTACGAATGCTAGGATTAGTGAATTTTTGGAATACTGCTCTCTTTTTGGGCCGTAGTATCTTGATTTATTTTGCGAGGAAAGCTCCGTACTTTTGATGGATGCCTGCCATTACTAATATATTAGAGCGCCTTCAGTTTCGTATGATACTGTGCAATACCTCTGGTGTGAAATAGTTGCTTCAAGCGCCGTGGCAGGCGGGCAGCCAGAGCGAAACACGCATTGGCGCCTACAAACTTAACAGGGATGCTTCACGTGTTGCGCAATGCGTGAAGTATCCCTGTTAGGTTTGTAGGCGCCAGTGCGTCGCCGCTCCGCTTTTTGTTAGGCTCTGATATTTAATCTGGCGGAGTCAGAGTTATTCAACTCATGATTTTGAAATGTTTGCACATCCTGTATGGATTATTCTCATTTTAATTGATGAAAAAAAATATTTATTAAAGGAAAATATAATGTGTGTTTTGTAAATATTAAGGTGGTTCCGTATCAAACTTAATGATTTCCAAAGCACACGAATTTCTACACAATTTCTTATATAGCTTTTTATAATCGATGGCGAAAAAGCAATAACCAGGCGATAAAGTGTAGGTAAAGCCCGGCGATAGGAACTATAGCCCGGTTGCATAATTTTGTATAGCTTCGTATAGCCCGGCCATGATTTTCTCCGCATTCTACAGCCACCTATATGATTTTCTGTAGCCTTTTTTAGCCGGCTATAGGAATTCCTATGTATTTTGAAACGCAGCTCTTATCGCCAATTTCTTCCAGGGTTTACAAGTTTTTACGCTTAAAAAGCTGAAGTTAAATTCTTTTGGCCATTGATATTGGTGCAAGACGCAGCATCCAACAATTGATACATGAAATTTTTTAACTTTATGAATTCCATAAATTGAATGAACTTTCCTTGAGTTAGACTTCATGGTGTCAAGTGTCCATTTTTACTGAACATTCACTGAGCGAGCAATCTAGTTTCATGTTGCTTAGAATTCAAAAGGCCTCGAAAAAACCTTTTCATCGCAACATTTAATAACATTAGGAGGAATTGGACTACATTTCGCAATTTGGAGCTAAAAATTTAAAAACAATGTATGTACCATCGGCTTCTCTAAGTGTTTCTACAGATGAACCAGAAATTGTTGTTCCTAATTGCAAAATGCAGCCCAATTTATCTTCCATCTGCAACTATTACGATGCAGCGGTTTTGCACCATTATTTCGGGCACTGATGGTTATAGGCATCAGGTGCAACGCTTATTGTTATACAACGACTTGCATTAACAAAAGAAAGTGTATAAAATCACAACACTTAATAATTTTTAGCTCAGCTGCAAATCATAATTCTCTGAACGTAATTTATGGACGGTCCCTTTAAATATCTCAAACAAGTCGAAATGAGGCAACTTCTATCAAAGATTCAATCTGCAGAACATTTAAAACAATTTTTATTTTTTCGAGAAAAACACAGGCGGCAATTTATTTTTCTCGGAATCAGTTCATATCATTATATTTTCTCACCACTTAGCGAATCGTATACAAAGTCAAAGTGGCATCTTCATCATTGAGAAACTGAACATGTTGAATTTGTAATCAGTACATAAGTTTGGTGGAATGAAAAATTAATGCTCACCTTCATATTCTGTTCGCAGATCTAACATCACAGGATGATCAAGGAGGATGTTAAACTTTTTCTCATTGCAACGATTATTAACTTCTTCAGTGAGTCTGCCGAATTTCGAGGCCCACACCACCCACATAGACATTACATTCCACAGAAAGATGGTGTTAAGCTGACACAAGACAAAAATTTACTCCACGACGCAGAGTAAGCAGTGCGAATGAGTGCTTATAATTTTCGTGAGGAGATTTCGAAAGAGTTAAACACTTTCAAAGACGTGCATTTCGTTCAATGTATTGTCACAAGAATGACATAAAATTATGAATATAAGTGCCTATTTTCATCGGGGGGGGGGGGGGGGCGTAACCGGATGCCATTTGAGATGCTACAAAATGCGAGTGCATGTAGCTACAGTCGAACCTCGATAACTCGAAGCTGAAGGGAAGCGATGAAAAATTCGAGATTATCGAGGTTTCGAGTTAACGAGGTTTGGAGATGAAAAAATCGAGTTATCGAGGTTGGAGGTTCGAGGTTGGTGCTAGGTCAATTTAGAAAAAAAAACCGTTATTTGTTTTACGTTATCATAATGAGGGAATATTGGGGAATGAAAGTAGGAACTAATATTTAACCCCACGTCCGATCGGGGTAGGACAATGGTTAGTTATTGGAAAAAATATGTACACAAAGATCAAGAATTAAATTTTAAAAAACTGAGTTATTCTGCTCTGATGCAAGTGTTGCAAACGGTGTCTATCTACCTCATTTTCAAGTGTTACTAAAGTGAAAAAACATCATCGCTAACATTAGGCAGTTGCTCCGTCACAACACATACGCGTCACAACATTAACTGATGATAAACTGATTAACCTGCCTGCGGCCGCCTTGAGATTATCTGGGCCGAAGCATCCTTCGAGTTATAGAGGTTTATCTCCAATTCCTTCGAGTTACTGAGGTACATATTTGACACATGGTAGTTGCCTTCTTCGAGTTATAGAGGTAAACCGCCGATTCCTTCGAGTTACTGAGGTACAAATGAGCCTCAAATGTCTTCGAGTTAACGGAACAAATTTTTCGAGTTATCGAGGATTTTGGCCTTCTGCGGAAGGGAACGGACATTTTCTTCGAGTTATTGAGGTTTTCGAGTTATCGAGGTTCGAGTTATCGAGGTTCGAGTTATCGAGGTTCGAGTTATCGAGGTTCGAGTTATCGAGGTTCGAGTTATCGAGGTTCGACTGTATTTCCAAGAATATTCTCTCTGAGATGAAATAGGGCAATAACGAGTGTATAATGTACCATTAACTCATAGTAATTAGCAGCAGTGCTATTAATTGAATTGTAGTTATACAGAGACTTAAATTTCCACAAAAATACCCCTTGTGTTTCATCCGTCGAAAATTTCATGCGTATTTTTCCAATTTGAATGTTTCACTCTTTCAAAAGAGTCCCTTTAAAAATACTACGTCAAATTGAACAGAAAATTGAAATGATCAGCGAAAAGATAGAGCAGGGCACTGCAGTTAATAATTTGATCAACATACGTAACACGAACCCTGCGGAGCAGAATAGTAACACTTGACGCAACTCTTCCATTTAAGAGTCGTGCAAATTGCATATAGAAGGACATAAAGCTGTTGTCTTTTGCCTAGGTTTCACTTAAAGTTGGACGCTACCCAGACGTGTGGATTTTCCTATAATAGAATGATCATCAAGTCTGATTAATGTTTTTGATTTTTAGGCATATTCAAGAAGATCTCGGAGACTGGGTGACAAAAGGCTCTGCACGAAAATTGACACCAGAGGAGCTAGAGTTTCATTATTTCATGTAAGTTCATGTTTGTATTCCTTCAATCGATACGATGGTTTGACGACGTGACCGAAGATGTCATGATAAATTACCAATGAGTCTTTCTTACATATTAATTTTCACCCAATGTGCAACATACTTCATCGGTCATAAAATGTCTAAAACAACCCTCACATGTGCCCATTCGCACAACCGTACGCGAGTCGTCTAAAAAGTCAGGCTCTTTTCGCTATAGTTTCATTAGTATTATGAAACAGTAGAACATGTAGAAAGCATATCATAATAAAATAGATAAAGCTTTTTGGTGAGCTTTTATTATATTTGGTTGACACTATATAAAACCCCAAAAAGCCGTCGTCACTATAAATCTCTACTAAATGGGTCTAAAATTTTACTGTTCTATGCACGTAAGTTTTTTTTGTCTTCCTTCATCTTCTTTCTCTCAAAATTCTCAATAAAGATATGGTTGGTTTGCTTGATGTCTCCTAATTCTAAAGTTGAATTAAAATGACCGTATTGAGACTGCCGTGCCATGGTATCCCTTAAAAATGGCGGATACTCTCTTCTCTCCTGCAGGCCAATTATTGAAACTGATAGACAAAGCTATAGACAAAGACGACAAAAGGGATTTGGAGGGATCCTATTGGTGGAAGTGGGTGGTGGCAATAGACATAGGAGGTAGGTAATGGACGAACTAATGGCAACCCACCGAAGACCCGACAGTTAGTCCATCGTTTTCTTCGTTAGTCTATAAGAACCAACCATGCCAATCAATAAGATCGCTCTATATTCCCTATGTCCTCTTTGTCTATCGCTTTGTCTATCAGTTTCAATAGTCGGTCCGCTGTTATGTACAACATTATCGAATAAAACGACATCGTTGCAGTCAATGCGTCTATACTCGAAAGAAACTGTTGTGTGGTTTTTCAGAGTTCATGACTTTGACAACAACACGAAGCTCGATGGATTGGAGATTCTGAAGGCTATCTCACACACCCTTGATCATGGCGAGGAGGAAAGCGACAGAGGGGGTAGGCACCATGCGGATGATTCGCACACAGCCACGGAGGAGCCTCTCACAGACGAGGAGAAACGACTCACTGAACATTATCAAGGCGTACTTGTTGGTAGGTACAACTACTCAGCTCAAGCAGTAGTTTTCATTTCAGACGTATTTAATCATACGTAGAAATTTTTTTTTTTAAAGGTCCAGAAAAGGTTGGCGGGAGGGAGTGGAGAGGGAAATCAGACGGTTGGATCTGCCCGATGGTTTGTGGGAGGATCGATTCTAATGGCGATTTGGAGTCGCAGAGCGCTCTAGTGCGCTGAGTTAGCGGATTGATATATGGATTGCATTTTGCAAAAAGGAACCACAAGAATTCCAATGTTGCTAAGATTTTGCAACTTTCTAACCTTGTAACTACAGACTGATCATATAATTAGATGTTATCTTTACCTCCAATCTAAAACTATAAAGGAGAGGCCCCAATTTTGTACCCAATGTTTCAGCGACTTCCCGAAGGCGGATTTCCTTGAAACTTTGTACGCATGTGCGGTTCGTGCTGAAGGGGTGCAATTCGTCGTCCGATTTTCGAAATTTTGATTCTAAGGGTTGAAAACACGCTAAAATAGGGTGACCCGTGTGTTAGAGCGGTGTTGCGCGATCGATCGTCGTCGTCTGGTCGTCGTGGTTTCCCTTCTTTTATTGCGTCTCGATCAGCTGTTTTTTCTGTCTAATTTTGGAGATTCCGAACCGGAGCAGTGTTGCCGAAATCACGAAATCTGTAATTTCACGAAATTGTTCGTTCTCGGTCCCCTGATGACTCGGCTGCCCGAGGCGTTCGTCGTCATGGATATTCGTCGTTTATGAAGAATTCCGATTTTTTCGTACAGTGCGCGTCGTCTTTTGAATTTTGTTAATATTTGTCGTGTATGAAGAATCTCGAATTTTTAGTAAAGTGCGCGTATTCGTTTTAATATTGAGAATGGATCGGAGTCGAAAACGTGGGCGTCCGGCGAAGCGTGGCAATGTTTCTCGCAATTTATCCGTGCGACGCAAAGTGCGGCATGATGGCTATCTCAGTGAGATAGATAATGTACGACGTAGGGGTGAACAAGGAAATAACCTCAATTCATTTCGGCAGAGCACTGATAATATTATCGAAAATGATTATCCGGAAAATAATTTCGGACTTTTAAATGTGAAGTGCCAGTATTGTGATGGAAAAATTATTGAAATTTTAGTTTTCCATCGAGAAGTTGGTCATCATAAAACTTAAATTCTCAATGATTTTTCGTATTCGATAGCAGAAAATTTGGTTCAAAATTTAAAGTCGTAAATTTGGATTGTTTCTCATGGAAGAGATGATTTAAGAACGGAAATTTTTAAACACCGCAACGGAGATACGTGGTTTCGCACTTCTGTCGTGCGATACGGACATCCATCAAGTTTAAAAAAATGCATCAAGTCCCCGTCACCGCCGACCAACGCGTTTGTCGATCGAATCAACTACAGGTAGTATGAGCAGGGGGTCTAAACGCCTTCAATTTTTTGAACGCAATACGGACATCCGTCGAGGTTGTATAGTTGTATCAAGGCGCCGTAGCAAACGCGTCCCATTGTTTATCGTTACATACGAATATAAGTTGAGAGAGGCCAGTCATAATGCCTTCAATTTTATACATACATATTTTTGGGCAAAATGAGAGACGACGTTTCTTCTTTTGCGACGTTGCAGACGTCCTTAGAAATTTTATTTTTCTTTCGAGAAGCTGATCAACATAAAACTTAAATTCTCCATGATTTTTCGTATGCGATTGCAGAAGATTTGGTTCAAAATTTATTGTCGTAAATTTGGATTGTTTCTCATGGAAGGGATGAATTAGGAACGGGAAATTTTGAAACACCGCAATGGAGATACGTGGTTTCGCATTACAGTCGGTGCGATACGGACATCCATCAAGTTTAAAAAAATGCATCAAGTCCCCGTCACCGCCGACCAACGCGTTTGTCGATCGAATCAACTACAGGTAGTATGAGCAGGGGGTCAAAACGCCTTCAATTTTTTGAACGCAATACCGCAAATCCGCAATCCGTCGAGGTTATATAGTTGTATCAAGGCGCCGTAGCAAACGCGTCCCATTGTTTTTCGTTACAGACGAATATAAGTTGAGAGAGGCCAGTCATGATGCCATCAATTTTATATATACATATTTTTGGGCAAAATGAGAGACGACGTTTCTTCTTTTGCGACGTTGCAGACTTCCTTAGAAATTTTATTTTTCTTTCGAGAAGCTGGTCAACATAAAACTTAAATTCTCAATGATTTTTCGTATTCGATAGCAGAAGATTTGGTTCAAAATTATATGAGCTTCGGAAGCATACAGAGATGCAAAAGCCATACAACTGTTGTACCTCAAAATGTTGGTCATGAAAATAGGTTTGGAGAAGAGGTCGCGAAGTTAGTCTTCGATTCCAGGCTCGGCAAGTCTGAGAAGACCATTATGACAACATCTGTTAAAATGGCCGTTCACCTCCTCTTTTTTGAAATGCAAGGCATCACAGTACTGGTACTTCACATTAAAAGTCCGAAATTATTTTCCGGAATAATTTAATTTTTCCAGATTATAAATTTAAATTGTTATTAAATGATGATAAATTCAAAATTCCAATTCCAATTTCCAAAATTTCAGAGCATGTTATATCTTCTTTCAAAATTTATTGTCAATTCAAGTTGCTATTCAATTAAAATAAATAACTTGACTACTTTTTTAGGTCTAGCGCAAGATCTCAAAATGTCTGTCACACTCATGATTTTATATTTTTTAAGTTTATTCTTTTGTATGATTTTTCATTTAATGTTTTTAGTGTAGAGCAACATCTCAAAATTTGCCTTTTTTATTTATTGAAATTAATAAATGCATCTTCTTACAACAGTTATTTATTTTTTAATTTCAAGACTGCTGGGTCTATAAATTACTACCATATTTACAAAATTGATACTCGCAAACATGTTTTTTGTTTTTGCTGATGGGTACAACAACAGCCCCCACATGTAAAAATATTTTGTAGCTTCTGAATAATTATATTAAAAAATATAAATATGGGCATAATAGGTATAGTAAAATATATTAATACAAAAGTTATTGTTATAACATGGTGTAATTTCATTAATGACGGTTTATCACCGTGCGAAGCACGGGCTGGTTGCTAGTAAACTATAAATTCAAGACGGAAATTACGTTTGAAAATTTAACTTTTTGCATAATGTCAGTGATTTTATTACAAATATTGTTAGTTGCACAATCTTAGCAGCATTGGAATGCTCTTGGTTCCTTTTCGCAAAATGAAATCTACATATTTATATAGAGAAAAAATTCTGACAGATTTTTTGACCCATCCTCTCTTCTTTAAGGCATCTCTAAGACAATATATCTCAGCTCTCCTCCTCCATTTGAATTTTGTTTTGTAGGACCTGGCTGAACCCCTCCCCCAATTTAGAAAGAAAGTACAGTCAAGTATTGCATTTATGCAGGAGATGTAGATTGATTCAAACGTTATTCATTTTACTTTGATTCTCATGATTCATTCGAATCGTGTGTGAGGTTTAGTGACATCATTCATCGGTACGTAAAGTGCACGTGTAATTGGACTAATTTGACCAAGATCAGCCAGCCTGGCCTTTTTACGTTGATTGATTTCCTCTCGAGTCTTATTTTTGGACAGGGAACTAAAAAAAATAGCTGAAACTTTCTTTGCATTTCCTCCAGACTATAATAAATGAGTATACTCAATTTTTAAATCAGAATAAACATTTTGCTGAGTTTTCTGTTTAAAAAAAAAATGAGCATGATGAAAAATTAGGCAATGTTTGAAGTGACCAGGCTGATTCTGGTTTAGTGGATCTTCAGCTTTTGTACAATGCAATTTGGATACGGTGGGTACACAGTTATCTCTCTCGGTAACGAGAACTCAAAGGATCGGCCGATATTTTCTCGCCATGGAGAGGTTCTCGTTATAACGATAGTCGATATCCGAAAAAGACGGACGAACTCCAACATTTATGACTCAATAGACTAATCTGCTATTCAGGGATGCAAAACCTCTACGCTGCCCGATCCGAGGATTGGAAGCTCGCCATATGCACCGGCCGGAAATAGTGTTCACCGCGGAAGGTCCAACACCGATGAGAAATTGCGAAGTTTCAACGGGCACCGCAGTGAACGCGCAATGCGTGAAGTATTCCTACAGTCTTGCAGGCGCTAATACGCGTCTGAAAGGTTTCCTCGATACAGAGAGGTTCTTGTCATAACGAAAGTCGCTATATGTAGAGGGAGACAACTGTATTTCAAATTTTAACTATTTTATGGATTATTCATTATTCCGGGAAACTCGAAATTTTGATCTAAAGATATATCAGTCTGTGAGTCGCAGAGACCGCAGAGACCAGGGAGACGAAGTCACCCTTTAAACTACGTAAACGTTGGCAACTAGAGTTCCATAACGGCGGAAGATCAATCATTAAGGAATGCTCGAGCCAAAAATTATTCTTAACATTTTTTAAAATAAAGTTAAAAGTACTACTTTCATTTTGCAAACGATTTCCATGCATCGATATCGATGGTTAGTCATTAGAAACTGTACTTCCGAATACGATTTTGGGAGATAATTTTCTGCACGAATATTTTTCAATGATAGACCTACACACTGTAATTTTGATTTTCTCAATATGATCCACCGGAGGGTTACACTTTTAAATATATATACAGATCTTATCTTGTTTGCATTGCGTAAATGCTAGGATCCATTCTAAATCCGCCCACATGGACGTTATATCATTAGTGACGTCACCATAGAGATTCCCTTTCAATAGAATCGGATCCAAACAATAAAAACGACATTGGCGGATCCAGCAAATCGGCAACATTGTCTTTTCTCCATTTAAACCTATAAAAATGTATCGATTCTTGGAGGGCCAGGTGCTCCGACGAGAATCGATTATTCAGCATGGGTTTCAATGGAGGAAATCCGATGTTGCCAACTTATAGGATCCGCCTCTGAAAAACAATGTATCTTCTTTCAATGCTAACAATGAGAATAAATCGATATATATCACTTTCCCGTGAAGTATGACACCAACACTGCCGTGTTAAGGAAAAATGCCGTATGAGCCTTTAGGCGTTGCCAGATCCCCTTCAATATAAACCGAATTTACTGGACATTTTTTGAAAGTTTTGCTTCAAAATTTTCAGACAATTTTGTTCGTAAATTGATCTAAAATACCTGAAAATTTCAAGGAAAAATTTGAGTAACTTTCCTAAAAATTACATGATTAATCTGGGAAAATTTTGCAACTATCGGATGTTCATACGGCGCTTTTCCTTAGCACGGCAGAATAGCGTCTATATAATTGCTTGACGTCGTGCCGTGTGCTTTCAGAATTGATCGATCAAGTGCTCCTGGAGGATGATACTGACAAGGATGGATTCCTCAGCTATCCAGAGTTTGTAATTGGACGGCAAAGAGAAAAAAAGAACAAGCCGCAACAGCAGCATTAAGAAAGTACCCACTCTGTTAAGGACTCGATGATGCTTCCAATAGTGAAATTTCGTCGAAAAATCAACTGACATTGAATTCTAAAAAAAAAAATTAGGTACAATGTTATAATAAGTACCATTGAATCGGTCAGTTACAAAAGGGCTTAAGTGCCAGATATTAAAACACGAAAAAAAAAAAGCAGTAGGGATTATATTATGTCTCTGGAGCCAGCCCGTTTTAAATTACAGATTAATAAATCATTTGATTAATTATTTCATCGCTTTAATATTTTAGAGCTCCAAGATTTATAAGGGGTCAAGTAGAACGATTATTACCATTTTTCTCGAATTCTCATTTTTGGCGCTTGAGCCCTTTCGTAACTGATCGATTCCATCGTGGTCAATGCGTACCTATCTATGTACTTCTTTTACTTAGAGGATCATTAAAACGAGTTATCCTGTTTCCTACGTGAATGAAGTGTGACAAAATATTTCAGGCTCGCTCACTTCCTGTTCCTGTCAGTTTGAGCTGAGTCACTCAACCACTTCTTAAGCGTCCACTATCTTTCCTAAATGATGTTACATAATAGTTTTGTTTATCGCACTTGTTATACGTTTGTTTAAATTTTGAAAATTTTGAAGAGCATTTTTATAAATACTGTGATCTCCACTAAACCTGTTTTAAGGACTACAAAGACTTTATTAAAGTTCAGATTCGCAATTTCTTTTACTTTACTTGATTCACGTGCTTCCCTCGTTTTACTTACATTTCAATAGGAGTATTCCGATACCCGGATTATCGTTTTGCGTAGTTTATATTCTTTTGTTATATTCCGTGCCACTCGTTTATTTCTAATCCTCGTAGAAAAACCACACATTTGTAAATACAATTCCAGCTGAAGCGCACTTCAGCTATGCATTCACCACTGCAAACATTTCAGAGGAAATCGACAAGCCCAGCGTGCATGAAGGCTATTTCAATTGTAATCTTCCGTCACATTCTTACGGCGCACTGATACAATTATTTGAACTCTCCGGAATGCGTGAGGTATCACGCCGAATTTTAAGGCGTTTTCAAAAAAGCCAAGTTCCGATACCCGGATTATCGTTTTGCATAGTTCATATTCTTTTGTTATATTCCGCGCGACTTGTTTATTTGTAATCCTCCTATAAAAACCACCCATTTGCTAAATACAATTCTAGCTGAAGCGCACTTAAGCGCATTCACGACTGCAAAAATGTTAACGGAAATCGAAAAGGCCAGCGTGCATGAAGGCTGTTTCAATAGTAATCTTCCGGCGCATACTTACGGCGCAATGATACAACTATTTGAACTATCCGGAATGTGTGAGGTATCACGCCGCATTTGAAGGCGTTTTCATAATATCCAAGTTCCGTTATCGGAATAATCGTTTTGCATCGTTCATATTATTTTGTCTCCATTTCTAACCACTTGCTTAATTATAATCCTCCTATAAAAACCACACATTTGCTAAATACAATTCTAGCTGGAGCGCACTTCAGCTATGCATTCATCACTGCAAATATTTCAGAGGAAATCGACAAGCCCAGCGTGCATGGAGGCTATCTCCATTTCAATCTTCCGTCACATTCTTACGGCGCAATGATACAACTAATTGAACTCTCCGGAATACGTTAGGTATCACGCCGCATTTGAAGGCGTTTTCAAAACAGCCAAGTTCCGATATCTGAACAATCGTTTTGAATAGTTCATAGTATTTTGTTTTCATTTCTAATCACTTGTTTATCTTCTTGTTTATTCATAATCCTCCCATAAAAATTATCCATTTGCTATATGTATACAATTCTAGCTGGAGCGCACTTCAGCTATGCATTCACCACTTCAAAAATGTCAAAGGAAAATGACAAGCCGAGCGTGCATGAAGAAAGGCCCGCCACAAGGGGGGGATACTGGGTCCCTGGTACCGGGGCCCGGGCCCCGGATGGGGCCCGTGTTACTCGTGAAAAACCACTACGAATTCACATGAAACCCTTGTTTCGTAAGAAAAAGAGAAAAATTTACCCTAAAAATTTCGCAAAAGGTGAATAGATTTTCAGAAACACGCTGGGGCACTGTAGAATTTTTCTTAAATTTTCAAAGAAGTATACTTCTTGGAAAATGTCTATCTATTTTCAAGATTTTCAGTACAGAGGGATATTTTTAGTAACTGCGTTTCATTTTCTTCCGTAGTCAGATGCTAAGAGTCTCCAGTCTGGGCATCCTCGACTTCAATGGCTCATGGCTCAACTCCCTTGCCATAGACAAACGAAGGGGGAGTCCAGGGGGGCCTGGCCCTCTTAGAACTGAAAATAGTATCTTATGCTCCCCCCCCCTCCAAAAAAAAAAAAAAATATAAAAATTCTCCAGATGTTTTGAATGCAACAATTCGCAAGTATTTTGTGCTGAAAGTAGAAAAAAAAAAAACATAATTATTCCGCAGAAATTGATGGAAAAATTCTTTATGGAAGCTTCAAAATGCGTCCGATTAGTCGCATAAATTCTAAAATTTCTCGGGGGATGCCCCTCGGACCCCCCCCCCTCCATGCTTGGGGCCCGGACCTTAAAACTGGTACCAGGGCCCGAGATGAGACGTGGCGGGCCTGCTGATATCACAAAATCGACCGACGAACCAAATCAAGACCGAGTGCTCAAGTAGCATAGATGAACAAAAATATTAAAATCAGTTTGCAGCTTTATTGAATAAAATTAAATTTTTCCCCCCATGAAGTTCCATTATTCGTACATCATTTGGTCTATAAATGCGGATTTTAAACGATCAACATGAATAAGCTCCATGTGCGAGGAAGGTAGGCAATTTACAATGTAAACAAAATTTGAACTTCTTTCAAAACTAAAGCAATACATTTCACCATTTTCACCATGTTTTTTTCAAGTTATAGCAATTTGCGCTACTTTGGTGGTAAGATTTTAGATACTCAGAGATGATGCGAGGCAAAAAAAATAAAAAATAAAAAATAAAAAAATTAATAAATCAAGAGCAGACAAATTGCTGTATATTGACAGTGAAACTCCCAAACTCAATATTGCGGAATTTGTTCAACCCCCCCCCTTCCCTCCCGCCACAAGTATCGAATTTATCAAAAAATTCGTCGAACAGGAGCCGAGATGGCATTACTGGTTTCGTCCGCTATTAAGGATTTTCGAATTTAAAAAATTTGATTAAAAACGCATGATATCCAAAATCTGAGCTCAGATTCGGATTCCTCGTTAAAAATCGATATAGTTTCATGTATCATATGTTAGCAGGGCCGGATCTACGTTTCACGTAGGGGGGTGCAAACCCAGATTTTGGCGCCCCCCGCGCCGGGGGGTCTGGGGGGTATGGAATACCCCCCAGGAAGGCGGGGGGTTCGGGGGTCCCCCCCCGGAAAATTTTTGAAAATTACAGCGTACCAGAAGGCCGTTTTCCGTAGTTTTTAGCGAAAAATTGATTTTTTTAAGTTTGATTTTTGAGGTCTCAAAGAGCGGTATACGCGCATGTAAAAATACTTGAAGTCGCATTCCTCAATACATTCTTTATGTGTGCTTTCTATAAAGCACTGACAGATACGTACTTACACTTCACATTTTATGAATGAATATTGGGTGTACCAAAGGGTAGGTTGAAGCTCCAGCGAATGAAGGAGGTAAGTATAAGTAACATTTTTGTGATTTTTAGAAAGACGATTTTAATGTTGAAAAGTTACGTGGGGTCTTGCAGCAAAAAAAAA